AATATGCTATGCAAGTTTTTTTCTGGCAGGTTTTAGCACAGAAAGCTATATTTAGCCCTGGTTGTTTAAAGAACACACAACATGTACTTGAGCAAGTTTCCCTCAAATCTTCTAAATTCTGTTTTCTGATTCCTCGTGTTGATTTTAACGGAACATTTTTGGGCGCTTGGTGTGAAGTACGATACAATATTCCAGTACGGAAGAAGGCAATGTGTAAACACGGATATGGGTGCCATGGAATGATTCAGAGGCTATTTTCAGTCAATGAATGGCAAAGATAGGAAGTGAGAAATGGTGAGAGGAATGCAATTGGTTTCAGCGGCTCTTCAAAGGCAACATGGAAAACTGGAGCAAGATGGAATATGTTCTGTTAGAAGAAACAAATTATTATTGCAATTTACTATAAATACAACCCTCTAGCTGTTGTTGGCAGTGTGCAAGGAAACATGAAGAAATACTACCCCAGCCGACCTCTCTTACATGAGTCTTAGTGTTTGTATTAATATTTCCTCAAACGGAAAGGCTGAAGTTTGCATTCAGTTTTTTATCGTCATTAACTGTGAATAATGAGGGGGTTAAAAGAAATGTAAATAATCACAAAATAACTTTTTTTTGGCGGTTCCAGAGATTTTTTAGGCTACCATTTAGGCCGATTTTGTACAATTAATGTTAAGCCAAAAAAACTATTTTACTCTGTATGGTTATTTCTTTGTTTTAAAGTACATTAACTTTATGTAACAGTATATGAGGCAGGCGTTTATATGTCGAGAAATGCATACTTTTTGAAGTGCAGAATTTCTCTCTGTAATTTGTCTATGTAAAGAAAGACCAGCCAGATCATTTGTTGTGTACCAAAGACTGATGAGGGCCACGACTCCTTTCTCTAGGGATGTTAAGGTATTTCATCTGTCCCAACAAAATAATATGAGGAATACTACCATAGATAGTTGGCGGGGGACGCCCTTTTGTTCTGATGTCCCATTATCTTTCCGAATCGAAGGGGAAAATACAAAAGCATTGTACCCAATTTAAACCAATCGATGTTGTGTAATTAACAAGAATAATCTGTTTTTTTGTTGTTGATGAATAGTGCAGATATCACTGTAAAATCAATCGACAGTAAGGAGAATAATTACTTCCGGGCAGGGCCGTTTCTTCCTATAGGCGGACTATGCAGATGCATAAGGCCCCCGCGGCCACTTGGGGGCCCCCAAGCTGAAAGTTTTTTAGAGGGGGCGTTAGGGACATTATTCCGAAATACCGTTCACATACACTTGTGAAACACCCTCACACACACATGAAATCCAAAGTTATTCACATTTACATGTGAAACACTCTCACACACACATGTGAAACGCTCTCACACACATGTGAAACGCTCTCTCACACACACATGAAACGCTCTCATACACACATGTGAAATGCTCTCACACACATATGTAACAATCTCACACACACACACACACACATGTGAAACGCTCTCATATACACATGTGAAACGCTCTCATATACACATGTGAAATGCTCTCATATAAACATGTGAAACGCTCTCATATAAACATGTGAAACGCTGAGTTCAGCATTTAATTAATTTGCTTTTCAGTTAAAAAAGGAAGGCCTTGCTGTCACATGAAGGAAAATCAGGACATTCTGATGTAGAGTTTCAAAATAAAATACCTTTGAAATCTCAGAGGGATGATAGCTCATACAATAGAGATTTCAAAGGTCTTTCATTTTGAAACTCTACATCAGAATGTCCTGATTTTCTCTGAGTGAATAGTTAGGGTGTCCTGCTATCACCCTGGAGTGAAATAAGTATTTGATACTGGAGAGTTTTGGTTGTATTCTTACCTAAAATCAGAGGGACGACAGCTCATATAATAGGGATTTCAAAGGTCTTTTATTTTGAAACTCTACACCAGAATGTCCTGATTTTCTCTGAGTGACTAGTTGGGGTGTCCTGCTATCAACCTGAAGTGAAATAAGTCTTTGATGATTGACAGTTTTGTATTTATTATTATCTAAAAACAGAAGGCCCATATGAGATTTCAAAATTATTTTATTTTTAAACTCCTTAAGTTTTACATTCACTCAGTTATACTGTGGTATAATGTACGTCGGGGTTTGTTCTTGAATTATTATTGATCACATTATATTAGTACATATTTCTTAATTTAATCCTCCGCAGGTATATATGTTTGGATATATTTGTTATGACGAGTAAGGCATTTTTATTTTGAAAGCAGTTTTTCCGGCCTCTAGCGTAAATTGCATAGGATATTGCGCACCGCAATATAACGTGCGGGCTGGCTTTAACTCCGTTTCTCAAGTAGAGGCTGGCCTTGACCGCAGTAGAATCAAATTGAATACATTCGATTAAGCAAATGCTTTCATTCTTCAATATGGAGAAAAAAGTAAAAAAAAAGTTAACACAATAGATGTTCATACATCGTTAATGACTAACCTTTTAAACATCTTTCCTCTTTGTCTTCTTATCTATGATTCTCCATTATAATGCTTTTGTGCTTTTTTAATCTTTATTTATGTTTTCCCCTCAACACCCCACTAAATCAATTGGCAGAGCTAAGCGGTGTTTGTGCTTGATATTGCGTCGCTGCGGGAGGTGCAGCTGACCATGTCACAGTCTCTGCCCTACAGGGGAAGCTGTAGTGGGCCGTTGGCCCGTCGCGGACGAGGAAGAGGGACGATAGCTGACCGTCGCAGGGTGTTCTCACTTGCAGCTCCAAAAGTCTTTGCGGCCACGTTCGATAGCGTTTCGAATAGTCTCAAGCTGAGGCCAGGATATGTGTTTAAGTAAAGAAATAAAAGTCCAAAATCATTGTGTGACTGTCAGGCCAATGAGTGACGTCTGAGGAAGATGAAAAATGTAAATTAAACATTGTGAGAAAATGCTGGCATCTCTTGGCATTTATTTGACATAGAGGAGCCTTATTGTTTTTACCTTTTTTAATATCAATTTTTGTAATATATAAATATGGCTTGGTTTTTTCGTGAAATTCGCGCTGCTTTCATATTAAAGTGTCAACAGATGATGCATCTCACAAATCATCTTAAAGGCTCCAGAATTCCCCCCATTGTAGTTTAAAAAAAAACTGTTAAAAATTAAGGGGCCCCCAACCAGCCATCTGTCATAGGGCCCCAAAAAAGCTTGAAAACGGCCCTGGCTTTCCAGGTGTAAAAATTATCGCGTATCCATTGGGAATTGCCTTTAACTGGCCACCGACATGAACCGCGGTGCTTCCCTGACCATCAAATACCGGCCGCCGATGGAANCGTAACCAGTGGCACACTAGGAATAAGTGGAATAAGTGTGCAAAAATATTTAAATTGTATTTTCGGATCCTGAACGAGACCGCCGCCAGAGCGCGTCTCCCCGTTACCTGCAGAAGGAAGCCATGCACGCAACGCAGCCCCGCTCTCTTTATCTCCAGGTGACTTTCTGCCGCTTTCCTCCGTGGTGCAGTGCTGATCGTTTCACCACAGAGGAAAGCACTTCACTAATTGCAGTACCCATAAGGAGCTTTACATATGACGCAGTTTTTGCGTGGCTGTGTATTTAGTTGAAAGCCCAGTGGCGATCTGCTCATCTCTCATCGAAATAATATGCTACAAAGGGGCGGACTGGCCATCTGTGTGTTGAACTTTCCTGTCGGCTCCCAGGCCGTAGTCGAGGAGGGCAGAACCAACAAGCTTCAGGTTCAATAACCCACTTTAGCTTAAATGACTGGAGCGAGGCGAGCTCTTCTTAGGAGGCCGTTGCATTTATTTAGCTGTTCTTCTGCTTCACAAAATACATCACAGACCTCTGTTTTTCTGCTTCCTCGTTTCACTTCCAGAAACACGTTCCCTCACTCCTGCTCTACCATCCACAAACACACATGCACAAGCCACACCCCTCTCTCTCTCTCTCTCTCTCTCTCCTCTCTCTCTCTCTCTCTCTCTCTCTCTCTCTCTCTCTCTCTCTCTCTCTCTCTTAAAGGGACCAGCGATCTCATCTAACTCCTAATATCATAACATGTGTGCTCTGGAGAATCACAGAACGGACAATCGTCCTTATTATTATGCCGTTTAAACCAATTATTTAAATGTATTTGTTAAATTCGGCATCATGTAAGTTGCGCTGACAGGTCCACATGGCACTTCATATCAAAAAGGTTGCCGACCCCTGGGCTAAGCTAACCTGTAGCTGCTCCCTCCACACTCACAACAACTTCATACAGACATAAATAAAGCAGCTGTATTCGCCATACAGGAAACACACATTTAAAACGGTTTTGCCTGCCGTTTTTATGTACACACAAGCGTTCAGTGTTCGGAAATTGGCGCTGTACCTTAATAATATAAAGGCTTGTATTTGCGTGCATTTCCTGTTCGAAAAGTGGCAATGTACTGAGAGTGGAGGTGCTCCATGGGCCCGTAAACTCCGGACTGCGCAAAATGCGTACATGAAGCGCTACGTCATGAACGCAATAAATCTACCCCTCGTGGGGGCGCGCTCATGTGATTGGCTTAGACTGGAGGAGACATCTGATTGGCTATAGATAGAAAAAATAACAGGTACGAATCGGCTGACCGTCAGGGGAGTCTCAAAAGACCCACACACGAATGCACAGCGATCCGTGCACAGAAAGCGGTTTGTGTTTGCAGGTGCAGCGGTTTTAAACGGAAAACAAATATGTGTGGATCAAAAATACACATTTAAAACTTTTTTCTGTATTTGGACTTTATTTACATGTATATGAAACGGAGCACATTTGTGTGTGCATTGAAAAACACAAGTGTGGATCCGGGAATACAAGTGTGAATCCTTCTGTGTGCATGTGTGTATTATGAGACTCTTCTGAGCCCATATTTACCAGCTAGTCAACCTTCACGCTGTTGTGTTGCCTGCGGTGAAGGCTATTTTCATTCATTTGGTGTTACATAAATGATCTGAGCTTGTTGACCTGGTGTCTGAGCCTCTTATCTGCTTGTTGCAGACTCTACATGGGAGTTCCTGCGTCTCATCTTAGATCTTTCAATAAAAGTCTTGCATCCCTCGGGGAAATATTTCACACAGGTGAGTCGCTTTTTTAATCAACTGCTGATAATGTTGTGTAATTATTTCTTTCAATCTGAAGTGATTGCATTTTCTTATTCCATGTTTTTTTTTTATTGTTGATTAAACAGTCTGATATCATATTTAGAGAATGGCATGCTCCGTATCTCACAATATAATGTAGTTTCACATTTTCGCAAAGTAATATTTCATCACATTGGACATATGTCAACAAGTGGCAAATGCATCTTATTATTTTATTGCAGCCAAGCATCGTAACCCACCACTCCCACTTAACACCTTCCATTTGTGTTTAGGAAGAATCCATATCTACAGCACGTGTGTCCCGTGACATTTATTTTTTCTTGTGCCACCTGTCACCAGGGTAACGCACAGACCATGACGGAGGCACTGCGTCTGTATGAAGAACAGCTGAAGAAGCTCTCGTGTCCTGTGGGGTTCTCTAAAGAGGTGGTGTGTGTGCCCTCCTACTTGGAGCAGTATCCTTTCATCAGTATTTGGACATTTTGATGTTTTTAATTATGCTCATGATAAATGTGGTGTTCATATCCCATTACAACAACACTCAAATATTTTGTATTATACCTTATTTCTGTCTTAATACCTATATTTGTGTAGCTTTGGACCTTATTTCTATTGGTAATAATGATATACTAGTTATTTGCAGTGATCTGATGGCTTTTTGTAGTGTCTGTTCGATCCTATGATGTTATCAAAACCAATAGAAATGAGAGCCAAGTTGAGTTAAAAATTGTTTATATATTTGTGAATGGGCAAATGCTGTCCTATTTTGTTGTGTACAATCCTTAATTCCATTGTGTCAGATGGGTTTTCTACTCTGTATGGAAGAAGTAAAGACCAACAAGTTTCTCTGCTTGAATCCCCATCAGCTGGAATGTGAACGCTCCTCCCATTTCTGCTGTAGCCTTAAAGATGTGTTCAGACTGAACGTGACATTAAAAATGAGAGGCAAGTAAGCGTTTGGGTAAGCGCAGTGTTAGGTGGGCTTTAAAAGAGTCGATGGAGAAATATAACGTAAATAACTGGAGCTCCACACACAAGTGGCAGTGTATGCCTGATGTGTGTGTGTGTGTGTGTGTGTGTGTGTGTGTGTGTGTGTGTGTGTGTGTGTGTGCCTCTCCTAACTCACTAAAGCTAACATGTACTGTAATCTGCTGGGTTTTTTTCCTTCAAAATGCTCCATCATTTTAGTCATTCAGTCTGAGCACATCTCAAGGGGTACAATGACGGTTTTATTTTCCCGCTTTTATTGACCCCATTCTGCTCTGATCATCATTCACTTTCTTCCTGTTTTAGTTGTCTTACCATTTTTTTGCTACAACCTCTCAGTTGTATTTCGTTTGTGTTACTTGGAATGTCCATTTGCATGTTCTCCGAAGGAAACGGTTAGATGTGTAAACATTGATTTGATACACACAACTCATCGTACGACAGGCGCGTGTCCTCTTGTTTTCAGACGTCTCTGCACTTGAGTTATAGGCTCATGTCGTGATGTTTAGGCTCAGCAGAGCTAAACTGAGATGCTTTTAAGCGCTGTGTTTTTTTTGTTACTGCCTCTTAAATGTGATTTGATTATTTCAGATTGTATCAAAGCAATGTGATCATGCCCAGTGAGACTGACGTGTTTAAGTCCAAATGTGTTTTAAAAGGGAAACTATTCCACCACTTTAATGCCACCTTTGTGCTTGTGCTGTTTTTATGTCATGTTCTGTTAGCACCTTTTGGGTTCCTACAATATATATTACATTTTTTTTTAATACTGTATTAGGTGCATGTAAAGGACAGTGAATGTAGCTTGCATATACAGTACACAGCACGTTTACACGTGATCAACCCTGTTCGACTCGGTTACATTTATTTATTCAATATAATTTCACCAAATGCTGTTCCACTCGAGTTCTTTTCTGTGACCTCTACAATTAAATGTGTTTTAGGGGGAAATGTGTGATTTGTTGTTATTTTCTCCAAAATAAATGTAATTGAAAACATGCCAATACAAACAATGGGTAGTAAAATAATAAGAATAATTACGTTTCAGTGTGAGCTATTGATAAAGGTTGGCACTGTATTGAAAACCAGTATGTTCTGCAACTATATATAATGGAATATGTATTGGCTATAATTGTCTTATTCAAGTAAAAATGGCCCGGAGAAAAACGTACTGGCTCCAGCTAGATGTATGAAGGTTTCCATCTGATATTGCCGAAACTACTGAACCTCTGCTGAGATCAATGCTTACTGTAATATTAGCATGCTGACACAATAAGTGTGAACATGCTTCATTTTTTTCAACAATCAAAAGGCAAGTAATTCACATTGAAAATGATACCAGCTTGTTGGCCTGTGCTAATATTGAATAGTTTACAATGAGTCAACATCTGTGTGTAATGTACCATTTTTATTCAGCTACGTATCTCAATAACATCCCTATACAAAGGAATAAAGGTTATCCAGGTTCCTTCCAGATACAAATTTAAATATAGGATAGCGTGTTAAAATCAAGTGCTATAATGTAGGATTTCCATTGCTCATTACAAATCATATAATACAAGTGACAGGAAGATGGACAGTATATAAATTAGTCTTTATTAACATTATATACAAGTATTTCAAAATAAGAGCCTTTGAATATTCAGTTCTGGGCTGCCCAAAGCAAACCCGGTAGAGATTAAGCTGAGCGCTCCCTGCAGGGGTTCGACTCCGACCTGCGGACCTTTGCTGCATGTCTCCCCCCCCCTCTCCAATCCATCTGAATCAATAAAAGGTAAACATTGCCCTAAGAAACCCATGAAAAACAGTCAAGTCCTTTCTGGATCAGGGCGTTTGTTGGTTTCTATACTGCATGTTGATCTCGTTGAGGACGACATCCGTACTGTAGTCTTCTGCTGTGATCACATGGTCTTCAAATTGGCTACCTGTAACACAGCACTACTGCATTATTTCAGTTTTTTCAAAAGGACTGTTAAATGAACCACTCATTTAGTCAATATAAATATGTGTTGTACACTGGTATGACAAGTGTGTAGGAGAATAAAACTGTTAAAAGTGTTGGGCTTCTGGCCACTTTGCTCAAGAGCCTCCAGTATTTGGTATGTAACAATATGACTATATTTAAGCAATAGCTCACGACAGGCTGTGGTATATGCTCATTATATCACAGCTAAGGGGCGTGGTTCGGCCCGACGCGAAACCGTTGGGTTTTTCAGCCCAACGGTTTACTGTTTTTCTCAGACGCGAAGGGATACTGACTTGTTGTGAAAAGTAACTTACAATTCTACCCGTGGTATACGCTCAGTATATCACGGCTAAGAACCAATCAGATTGCTTGATTTGACTTGTCCGTTTTATGATATTGTATTATAATATTGCAGTGCACAGCCTTGTTTAATATTTGTATCCAGTAAACCGCAGCAATAATTAAAACCTGTTTTACATGCGTTGAGTCTTGCTTAAGGCAAAGCTAAGGATTATAATCCGGATGGCAGGCAGTCTTCACTTACTGATGCCATTAGTGAGCTCTGAGGAGTCGCTGACCAGGAAACAGGAAGAGCTGGATGAGTTGTTGAACTGGGACGAGTTTGAGGAATTAAGAGATGTGACTCTATTCACTGATGACTTTGTTGCGGTCTTCTGTGTTGCAGTGCGGCTCCATTCTGTTGAAAACATAAATTCCACAGGATAAAAGGTGAAATGTTACATAATAATTGATGAGTAATTACCATAGATGTCCAGAATGGTTATGAAATGTAAAAACCTGAGTTCTCTGCCAGCCTCATTCTGCCGCAGCACAGGAAGGTCCTCCACTGCTTCCTCACATTCTCCTTCCCCGCACAATAGAAGATAAATATAAAGAAACCTAAAAAAACAGAAACAGGGTTTATAGGTTCAGCATATCACCTGCAAAGTACACTTGTTTAGGTTTTGGGCTTACTTATTTTTCTTTTTGAGTGGTGAGCAATATAAGATAAAAAGCTTTAAAAAAGTGGATTAAACTATTTGTAATGTCCTCACACATAGGATTCAACAATCCCTTTAGATGTCGTTCCCCATAATATCCTTGTATACAGGCTCATTAAAATACACCGCCCATTATCTGAGTATCCCCTCCTACCGCCTGAGAACTACCTACAACTTTTCTCAGAAGCCAATCAGAGCAGAGTGGGCTTCTTCAGGAGAGAGTCTTAAAGAGACAGGTGCCAAAAATAAGCATTTTTCGACAGAGGGTGAATACAGGTACATTCAAACTAAGATTATGAGAACAATTAAGTGTTTTGAAACATTCAAGCATGAAAACATGAACCCGAAGATGTGTATTATACTGCATATCTCCTTTCTCTGCTTATTTAGTTCACTATTATGTCAATTTACTCAAACCTGTATGAGTCAACTCACCTTGGAAGGAGTTAAAGATGGCAAACAGGTACATGAATGGCAGGTTAAGGGGCCCCCAGGCAAAAAAAGCGAAGCCCCATGTAAGTCCCAGGAGGATGGTGATCCCCGACACGCTGCGCATGTCCTGCAGTATGCTGCGGTGATGCAAATTGTGAGGGTTCTGCCTCTTTATCCGACACAGCTGGACCAGCACCACCACGAACATGACGAAGTTGAACACAAATATGAGGCAGAAATAGGCCACCACTGACACGTAGAAAGCAATGTCATTTTTCAGCCAGCAGCTGTGGGAGAGAATGAAAGGGTTAGCTTATTGTTTTGTGCAGAATTTGTTTTTCGTGTGTCTGGATATTTGTTGGTATCGTATCAGAAGACTCACAATCCATCACTAGTGCCATCGGAAAACCTTCCATAGGAGACAAGGCCGTAGTTATCCTTGTCAACTGCGATGACAATAATGACCACAATCATCGGGACGCCCCAGCCGACGAGCGAGAACTTCACCATGTAGTGGGAAATGTAGCTATTGAAGACTTTCACCAGGGCCAGGTACATTTGGACGGCCTCTAGTCCCATCCAGGTGAAGGTCACCAGCAGGAAGTAGTGCAGGAACCAGGCGGTGGAGATGCAGAGGCCCACAGCCTCCGGGTAGAGAGCCAGCCAGGCGTCCACCAGGAAGACCAAGTTGAGCAGAAGCAGAGCCAGGCACAGCTGGATCAGGATCTTAGAGGGAATGTCCTTACGCAACTTCCTGCAATGTTCAAACAAAAATCATCAGTGAACTTTTCTTAATCAGCTGTTTGTAAAGAGTGATCTGAAAAAAGATCAGTTTCATTTTCTCTTTTTTTTATTCGGAACTACAAGCACGATCCATTATGAAGTCAAAACAAAGTAATACAGATGTGTTTCCAATCACTATCTAATTTATTGATTGTTGAAGATCATTTAGATTGCAGAAGTAGTACAAAACTGTTACTCATGTATTAGCAATGTCTGGTTTACAAACAATGTCAGATATTGATTTGAGTATTTTAAAGGTCCGATGTCTTGGCCATTTCTTCTGATCATAATTCCATTGTTGAGGTCTACTAGAATAGATGACATTGTTCAATGTTCCAAAATCACATTGGTTTCTCATACAGCATCTCTGTATTAACTATGTGTATTCACCCTCTGTCCTACACACCTTGTTGGAGCTCCTGCCCCCCCTCCCTATGTGCTCAGATTGGTCAGCTACTGTGCTCTGATTGGTCAGCTCGCCCACCCTGTTCGGATTAGTCAACCACCATTACAGCTGCAGACCGTTTACATGCAGAAAAAGCTACATAACACACAAGGGGACGGGTAATAACCGGAAAAGCATGACATGGGACCTTTAAGGACCCAAGACCTAATGAAATATATATATATGCTACTTCAATGGTTATTATAACAGTTTTTAATTCATTCAATGTATCCTAAAACTCACCCAAAGGCCAAGTAGGTGAGGAGGGTGATAGAGAGGAAGATGGCCGACACTCCACAGCCAATATATGTGATAAACGTTAGGATGGTGGCCTGCGTACGGCTGGTTAGAGGCTGTCTGGCGAGGTCCTGTAGGCAAAAGAGAAATAAAGGCAAGTTGCAGAAGAGTGGAAAAGTGTTCACCAAATAAAAGGATGCAAATTCTCACTGTCTCACCAGCAGGATAGCAAAACTTGTCAAATGGTTGCAGCCACAAACCGTCTCGTTGTCTGTGCTTTTTCGGACAGAGCAGCCTCTAGGATTCCAGCCCCCTGAGTCGTCTGCAGGTATAATACACAGATTAATCATATTTTCATCTTTGTTTATATTTATTTAATTCTGATTGAGATAGTCGGAAAACTTACTATTGAATTTGAAGTCCCAGAAAACGCAGATAGCCACAAAATTAGCCTGCAGTTTCAGAAAAAGCAAAAGAAGCTAGTATTTGTTGACAATGTCCAATTGTACAACTTTACATTTTAATATAATATGCAGCTGCTATAACGTATAACACATTTTATCTTTATTTTACTCCTCATTTTTTTGAAAAAAGGAAGTTCAGATATTCTCTTGTGATCTTATTTGCTGTAGTTGCTGGTTTACCTTTGTTTAATATTTAAAGATGAAAAGACAATACGGCTATGAAAATAAAAACAGTAAAGCAAACATACTTTCCCTAAAAACATTTTAAAAATCATTCAGTCTTGCTTACTGGAACAGGCTCTGTGTTCTTCAGCTGAATTACAACATCATCTTGGAGCTCCTTTATCGTCAGGTTGGCCGCACTCGCTCCCAGGATCCCACTGTTGAGTTTGCGTTTGCCTCTCAAGGAGCTGTCCTAAATATTTAGAGACATCACAACACAACACAACACACAAGAGGGGTCAGTTTGTGAAGACAATGTTATTATATTTAAATTAAACTGTTTCCTTATCAACTTAAAACCAGGGATATTAAATTCCAAACAGATCTGATGCACAAGTCTGCATTGTAATTAGGGTTGCAAAGGGGCGGAAAGTTTCCGGTACATTTCCGGAAAGTTTTTTTTTTTTTAAAGTAGAACAGAACAACTTTTCATTATTTTATTGAACAATTATTTGTTTCATTGAAGAACGAAAACAGGAATGTTGAATTAAATATTACTCATCTGTGCATGTGATGGAGGAATGGAGGGGGTGTGGTCTCAATAGCCATGCAGTAAGCAATGTGCTATGGCATGGATATTCAAGTATACTTGAATGGCATCTGTTTGTTTACTCAAGATTATGCTAAAATATACTTTCCCCTACTACATTTAAGTTCCCAATGAAGAGCCAACCTTGAATTTAGAAAATTCCCAGTTTATTCCCGTTTATTCCCGTTAATTCCCACGGAAAGTTTCCATCTTTGAAAATTCCCGGAATTTTGCAACCCTAATTGTAATGAGTTCTATTTCTTGTTTGGAATGTGATGTTCTGTTGAAAGTATTGACCTGGTAAACTGTGTCCTTCTGGTAGAAATTGAACTGGACTCTTGAGACCAGCTGCTGCTCCTGGCTGGTCAGGTCCTCAGTGAGGGAGGGGGGCAGCTTGATTGAGCCCTGCGGGAGGGGGGTGTCTGCTCTCACCTTCCTGCTGGGCCTGCTGGGACCCCCACGGACCTGAACAGAGAGACACTGGCTTAACAACTAGATTGTATCATCAGACTGTAAATCCAACTTCTATTGTATTTGGGGTAATTGATGTCAATCTGTCCAAGCTCAACCCATTTCTTCTTGTGTGCAAAAACAACTGTAATCCAGGGACTTACCATGACATATAATTGTAAGTAATCTCCTTGTTATTAAAGGAAGAAGGTGACCTAGTTTACTGCGACAGCCTTTCTAAATGTGTGGAATAAACTGAATCTAGCTCTAACAACCAGTGTATGTGTAATGCAGGGTTTTGTTTACAGATAAAACATTTTTTGTAATTGTTTAAAATTGAATTGATGGACAGTTTTTCATGCTGTGACATGTCAGTGTTTCTGTTCTAACAAAGCTCTTTATACTTTATCTGTATTATATACAGTTTAGTCCAGTATTGTCAAACCTAGAGGGTCTTAATATCTTGGTATTTTTCCTCTTAAAAAGGTTAAAAAAGGTAAATGTCTCTTTTGTGGGACTGATAAAACTCTTAGGCTTCTGAAACATGTGACAAGGGGCCCAAAATGGACATTGCTGTTTTGTAATGGGTCTCAAGCTGAAAAAAACTGCTTAAATGTGATCTCACAAAGTGTTGTATTTCGCTCTGGAATTAAATGGATTTGAAGCATCGAGTAATGGAAATATTGAGGTCAAGTACAGAACCTAAACAAGTTATGTATGTTGTTCAGGCTAAAAACCTCTAAAAAAATCCAACATTTACTGTAAAATATCTATAAATGCAATCAATGTCATTCTGGCAACAAACAGAATGGCATGTTATATAGACAATGCTTCATACAGGTATAATCAAATTGACTCTTTATGTCATACCTGTACAGTCTTAGGGTCTGAGATGGAGAAAACTGTTTCCTGGAAGTTGCTGCCATCTGCTGGTTTCACAGACAGAGCCACAGCGGAGGAAAGGAGGTTCTCAACCTTTCCATCAAGGACCAGCTTCAACCCCACGGTATCAACAACCCCTATAATACTGATTAAAAAAAGGAAATGTAATTGGTATTACGCATATCATAAATTATTATTAGAGTGAATTCAGTTACACCAGTGGTTCCTAATCTCTAGGCCATAGAAACAAGCCTTTGTTACCAGCTAACAGGTTAGAACTATATGATTACATTCATATAGAGCAGTGGTTCCCAAACTTTTTTCCCAAGATCCCCCCCAAATGACTCCTGTTGGAAGTTGCGCGGCGCCCCCCCCACCCCGACACACACACACACAAGGGGGGGCGGTAATTAAAGTTTAAAAGTCTAAAAAATGCTACAACTACTGTCACAAACTAGATGAATGTGAAGTATTTTGTTAAAGGAGGATGAAAGCGTAATTAAGGAGCACTATTGGAGTGACTTTGATGGTTATTGGACTCAGGATTCATTCATTTGGATTCCAGCTGTATGAAGAAATTAAAGGACGACACAAGTGGAAACAATTCACAAAGGGATTAAACTGTTTAAAACACATGCTCAAAGTAAGCCGGATTTTGCCGATGTGTTTATGTGGATTCAAAAGTCGTAAATAATCTACAAAATGGAGGAGACTGATCTGATCGGAGCAACTGTGACAAATAATCCAACTGAAACCGGCATGGACAATGACTATGTTTTAAAATTGCGCTTATCCAGAAAGGCCCGGTTTGGACACTTTTACGGCAGCAGAAGAAACATTTCTATAAGATAGAATTATACCATTTCATGTCTTTTCTATGCCTTTGAATAGCTACTAACTTGAAATGTTAATTCAAATTAATTAATCAATTATTTTTATATTGTATTGTAAATGTAGAGACAAGGCTTTTATGTGACAACCATGTATGCTTTACAATGTTATATGTAAAAAAGAAAGAAAAGGATAAATAACAAAATCAGCGATAAATATGACATTTTTGCCTCAATTCATATGGAGGCCTGGCGCCCCCCCGTGTGACTTTTGGCTCCCCCCCCCCCCCCAAGGTTGGACCACTCGAATATAGGGATCTATTGGATTTTTTCTGTAGCCAAAAACATGGACTTTGTGTGCTGTCTGGTGCTGCGTTTGTTCTTCACCCTCACTGCTTTCACCACCCCAACAACAAACCGACTTTGAATTTAAATAGGATCTCAGAGTACCAAAACAACAATCCATATCTTTTGGGACATTAAATTACATTTCTCCATGCACTGTGAGTAAAGAATAAAAGCCTCTTTAGGAGAGTGATTATTTTGCTACCATGGAGTTCGCCCGCTTGACTGGATATTTAGAGAGAGTGCAGTGTGAGGAGCCTTTCCATTGCCTTCATTCATTCAGACCTTGACGGATCCGATGCTTGAAGTGAACTGCTTCCCCAGGGGGCAACTTGCAACTGAAATTGTCAAAAGAAAGTTCTCAAAAAACCCGGTCGTTGAGTTACACCTCTGAATTTCTGTAGACAACAAAATATAGATGAAACGTGAAACCCTGTTGGAGGAGTCGGACAGCACCTCAGGAGTGCATCCGAGCAGATTGCATGACAATGTGACAGGATGATGTTTCCTGAAGCGAAAGCTGACCGTGGCCCGACAAAAGTCTCTCCAGCTTTGACAGCCAGCTGAGCGCACCTGGCTGGAGTTCACCTTGGACATATATTTGGTCACTCAAGCAGTGCATGCTTGGCTTTCGCTGCCAGTCAAGGAACATTTGAAAAGTACAAAGCCTTTTAAACAAACATGATGCTAGTGGGAATGATAGTCAATTTTGGGAACAGGAGCTTGTACACGTGCTGAGGGTTGAAAACAAACCTGACTCTGGACAGTAGTGAGGTTTGGCATTCATGAGCTGGATGTTGCTTCAGGGCCGTGGATGAGTTGTACCAATTGACAGATGGAGGTGGATGAAGTTACATTCACAAGTGAGAAGTGGATGAAGTTACATTCACAGGTGAGGTGATGGAAGTACATTCACAGATGTAGGTGGATGAAGTTAATTCACAGATGAGGTGGTGGAAGTTACATTCACAGATGATGGGGTGGAGGGTTTTGGTTGTGCGGTTGTCCTACATCCGGGCCTGGGTGGTAGCACTGGTTAGCAGTCACACGACTCGTAAGGCGTCCACCAAGTATATTTTCCTGCCATGAGCTGTTAAGAAGAAAAAGGAGAAATTAGAATCCTGGTGCAAGTATTTGTTAAGAGGGTAAAGCAGGGGTTTTGTTGTTAATTAAGTGCAGATCATACAACAAGTCAGGAGTTTTAGACTCCTACTCATTGTTGGCAAAGTAAGCAGGAGGTTGTTCAATTGGTACCACATGTTGTTGACGAGATTCAGTGGATTGTCACTGAAGGATTTCCAAAGGCTGTGGGACACATAAAAAAAAACACAAATTAGGAGTTTTACAAGCAAAGACTTGCAGCTCATTTTCTTGACGGCCTGACTTGCTGTTGATTTGACTTGATTTTCCCTGTATTAAGTTCACACCACCAGCTCGATCAGGTTCCAAAGTAACTATTGCCGTGTACTCACGGATTCAAACAAAATGAATCACAGCACATCTCGACAAATTACAGATAGGACCCTCCGGCCAAAGTGTAAAGTTCACTCTGCATTTTGAAGACTTAAAGTAAAAAAGCAAAAGAGTACAGATTACATCACTTGTTCAAATGCATCAATGCAAAGAAATGGTCCAGCAAGCTTATGAGTCTAGGATTAGACTCACTTTGATGAATGACTTCCACATGTCACGGAGTGGCGTTCTAGGGAAGAAATTTCATTGTAAAAATGCATAATATCCAGTGTCAATCCGCAGTCAAAACATTTGATTTCAGGCATCTGATCCAAAAAGGGGGGGGGGGGAAAAAGCCATGTGCAGTGGCCGATTGCCTCAATGCCATGCATCACATTAGGCAAAATGAAATGCAAAAAAATATTTTTCACTTAATATTCGATTTGATCTTTCTGTGTAATTGCCTATTTTAAACTAAAATGTGGAATCAGGCACATTATTACAGTTTGGTCGTCGGTTACCCTGTATTCTGATGCAAATTGATCGGACTAATGGACATGAATCGCTGCAAAGTGACATTCAAAAGATTATGTTGATTTATTTTATTTTAACAAATGGTATTTATGATGCAAATTTGATTGATTTGATGAATGCAATACTTCTCTTCCCTTGAATAGCAAATCTGGTTACTGAGCTTATACATCTGAATATTCAAGAGCTTAGAGTTAGATAATTCATTTATGCTATATTTGAGACCACTTAATAAAATATTTAACATTTACACTGAATGTTGACTTACCATGACGAAACGTACGAAAAGTTCCATCTTGGATTTGCTACTGAAAATTGAAAAGTGGTAGTATGCTCTGAAAAAAATATAACCACTTAACAAATTGTCTTTTTTATCAGGTGGTTTGTGTTATAAAACAGCTCA